TCGTTCAAGTACAGCTCACCGAAAGAGAAGTCATTCCTCCATTTATCACTTACCACGTCAACTCAAATGGCAAAGGGAAAGTTTGCGAGTCCATTCCGACGGATGGCGCTGACACCTGCCGACATGAACGAGCTCGAAGTCGTCGCGAAGACTATCGTCGAAGCCAACATGGACCGGTATTTGCAATATTGGGATGTCAACAAACGCAAGGTGAACCCGAACTCGTGGAAGCTTGTCAAATCTAAGAACCGGATGCATGTATATTCCGAACGCCAATGGAAGCGACGTCTCCAGCTGAAAAACCTTCGGCCGAAATCGATCTTCAATCAATTTTTTGCGTGGGCACAACTCCGGGTACACTAGACGACGTGATGCTTGGAGTCATGAGCCCAACACTGGAAGTTACACGAACCAAAGCCTCGTACTTGGACGATCTCAGTGGAGCTGCCGTCCTGTCGACGGTCAAGGAGTCAACATCGGAGGACCCGTTCAAGTCTGTAGCAGTAAAGTGGATGGAGTTGGATGTTCGTCGCCGCTCAATGGGTTTTGTCAAAAACTGAGACTACATTTACGTCGAAGCTACGGGGATAAATTACTTACCGAGCGGTGAGCGCCTGGGTTACCATGTCATGCACTCCGTTGACATCCCCTTCGAGACTTGAGAGCCTTCTCATAAGAGGTTGGGTGAAGATGGATAATAGAACCACTACCCTCGAGTTCATCAGTTGTTAGTGAAAGCTTTCCTGTCTTGATAGCCTTAGTTAGCTTGCGTGCTGGCACGCTGCTGGAAATAGTTAGTTCGCGATACAGTATTGCTATATTTCTTGAATCATAATATAAAAGAATTGTTAAATTCAAATCTTTGAATTTATTCAAGAGATTCATCTTATTGTTTTGGTTGCAATACAACCATAACATACACCATATCCCACAATAATCTTCGTACGTTCCTTGAAATTGATGAGGGTTGTATCTTCCGATTCCATACTTCGTTGGGGCTGCCTCACCCATACTATCAAAATATTCACCATTACACATTGTGGTCCAATGTCCTACATCCATGTTAATAAAATCAGATACGAACCTTTCTTTGAAAGACAAGTTGTCATCTCACTTGACTCATAAATATCATCGATATGAACACCGATTATCTCAGTGAGTTCAATTAGATCATGATGTGATGTGATAGCTTTGATGAGATGAGATTCCACGATGAGTGAAACACAACTATCCGATCAGTATTTTTGTACCAGAGCTCTTTAAAGAGCGATCCCGAGATTAAGGTATCGACGGGCAAGCGCTTACCGTTCGATATCGATCTTAACCAAGGTTCGTACCAGAATGGTGTTATACTGGGAATACCTCAGAATGAGTAATGGGTTAATTGCGTGAACGTAACGTAAATGGGTCAACGTTCGGACAACATCCAAAATATCGTACTTAGTATGTGATTAAAAGTTCTAAGAACATGTATAAGTCGCAGACGATCTAGTTACGGTTGATACTACGGCTCAGCTTTGAAGACTTCGCATCCCTCCGTGATGTTTACATCATGTTTCCGTACAAGGTTTCGATGAAGAATGGTGGTGCTGCACAGGCTTCTGCTGCTAACCGCTTCAGTGCTACATGCAACTGGAATGTCATTGACTCGATGTCTCTTGAGTTTAATGGTAAGACTGTCGTCTCGATGGCTGACTACAAGCTATTCTGGAACAACATTCGCGCTCAGACTGGATACAGCACTGCCCATGTTGAGAAGCATGGTGCTGAGTCGTTCCTATTCCCTGTTGCTGCTCAATTGACCGCGTATAGCGCTGCTGCTGCGGTCGGTGGTGATGGCTACTCGAATAACACTGCGTTCTCGACTGCGTTTGTCGCTTCTGCTTCCTCCGCTACAGCATCGGTAGC